TCCAAAGGAAATTTACTAGCAAAAAGGCGYTAGTTTAGATGTTTAGACCTGTAGCACTAGTAAGTAGAGTTGTCAATGGTTGCAATAATCTACTGRCTACTGCTGCTGCCACCGAAGTGGATTTCRAGGAAGCTACCGCCATCAAGGAGTTCATCCCGGACCCCAGCAAGTTTGTTGCTGCTGCCTCTGATCCAGCAGCTGGTGCTGGCGCTGCTGCCGAAAAGAAGGAAGAAGTCAAAAAGGAGAAATCGGAGTCAGAGGAAGACTTGGGTAAAAAGGCTTAGCAGTTACAGCGATTAACTGCAAGGTTTAAGTACCAATTCTCTCATATTTTCTCGAAGATTGAAATCTTTTCATGGCAGCAGCGCCACCTACCGTGACTAATCAATTTTACTAAATTTCTTTTGAAGAAAAATTCAAATTAATATGTATAAAGCAAAAATCACTCAAATAATTCTAATAATACTTGCTATATTTGTATGTGTGTGTATAAATACATACATATGCATATGTATATAGATACTAATGCGACTATTTCGCCTACAGTATGGCTAACAATAAAAGCGTTAACTACAATGGCGCTACAAAAAATCATAAAATACTCATATGAAAATATGTATTTGCTAAATTTTACTAAGCGTCCATATGCATACCAACAAAACAAGATATTCTTCTATATATGTACGTATGTATGCGCATTTAAGTGTAATTCTAAATAGTTCAATTATAGTTGCTCTTGGCATTCCGTCGCTACTTACAKGCATTGTGAATCCGTTAAAGTTGCGCTGTCATTGCAGTTGTTGTTGTATTAGATAATATATTTTTCTCTTGCTTGTGTGTGTGCGAAATGTTGATGTTTTTGTTGTGTCTGGTGCATTTTCTTATTGCTATTRCTATTAGATTAAGGGGTTATATCCACTTGTCGATTTCGAAAGATTTATTATCATATATACAACTATTTAATACCCATGTGTTTGGGAATATTCTCTGAAAATTCGAAGTTGAATCAGCAAATAGATCGACCAATTGGCTAGAAATATTTACACGACCTTCTTAAATACATATATTTGGCAGGTAACAGCGAGTGTATAAAATTTTTGAAAATTATTCGACTAAATTTCGATTCAATAAGCTGCTCTGCATTTTTCTTGAAAAAACACTTTTTTGGGGAGCCGCTATTTTCACAGAAATCTAAATTTTTACTAGTTCTTCGGGCATTWCTTCTACARTATGTAAAAAYAATAAACCTTTYTGGTTTATGGATTTTCGATAATTTYAAGTAGAAAAGTTTTTGACGACCGAAAATGCTTTTTTCACAATTYGTTTTCTTCTTATAATGAATGTACCAAATTGATACAACTTTTAGGTATATCAAAGGGTAATATTTGAATAAAATTTTGTGAATTTATTATTGAACAAGATTTTGGAAATTCAGCCATTGGCTGCTGGTTTTCGTAGACATCGTCCAAAAATGTTTCCTCGTCCCATAACAGACGAAGAATTGAACTAAAACCAAAAAATTATATTCCATTGCTAAAAAGTATTGAAAGCGATTACTCGACGGATTTGAAAATAAAATTTTTTTGGCAGATTTCAAACAACATAGTAWGGTTTTAGTCTAGTTTTTACCACGAAGAGCCTGATGAAAAAGTGACTTGTAATCAGAAAAAATTTTTTTTGCTCCAAAATGTGGTTATTCTATTTAAGATCGCTTCACTAGTTTCTGATAAATCGTGGCCACCGACTTTGAAAACGAGGTTTCGAGAAACACCGGGCGGCCTAGCAAAACGGCGCGTTGCTATCAAGGTTCTATCTCCTACACTGTTATYGCATTGGCCGTGAAAAATAATCTATATACATATACATAAGTAAAAAGTATTAAATTTGAAATTTCAAATCTCACGTAAAGTACTAGAAATTCAGTAAATATACATTTTTTATTTATTTTTTACAAAATGCGTCTTAAAAAAAAACAAAAAAGCTGTGACTTTAGTTGCTTGCTAGTGGATATAACCCCTTTATGAAAACTCGAAAATGATTTTCTTAATTTACATTGTTTGTTTCTTATGAAAATTAACGGTTTCTGCGCAAGTACAGCAATAGCTTTAATCGAAACTCTACGCTCACTTGCCTGTATGTGTGTGCGTGTGTGTTAATTTGACAAAATTTTAATTGTAATGCATTTTATGTGCACTCTGTGTGTGTAACGGTTAACTAACCGTAATATTACTTGTTTGTTGTTGTTATTATTTAATGTTTATTTTATTTTTTTAATTATTTGCGTGCTTAAAACTACAAAAATCATACTTTGCTCTAAGTTTTCAGCAGTTTTTGAGGTAAGTTTACGAAAACGTCGATTTCTTTGCGTTATTTACTTTCGCTTTCTTGAATGTGTAGAAGATAGGAAACGGGTGAATCGAAATTACTGAAGCGTCGCCCGTATATAGTCATCGAAATCATCTAAAAAATCCAGGCAATTAAATCATATTGACTAGAGTGTACGCGATTAGCTAAGTCAAGGACGCAGGCGCAGTGTAGGATTTCAGAGAGCACATTGCTTGTTTACAACACGCATATTACAATAAATACATAGGTACGTATAGCTTAGATGTCTAGTGAGAATGTGAGTCTAGTTGACGGGTGTTTCAATATGCTTGCGTTTGGGTTATGCTGTTGGACTTGGGTGCTCCTTAGATAATGGGTTGCTGCAGGGAATTACGCGAGCTGGTTTTCGAATGCACTGTGCGCGAGCAGTTGTAGGTAATTTTAATGTAAAATGTACATAAAAACAAAATTATGGTTAGTTCATACAAAGGTAACCAATTACAAAAATATTTATACATTTGTATATATTAGATTATTGGTTTACGCCTTTTATTCGAATAAGTTGTGAAACGGAACATTTAGAGCACGAAAAAAATTCTCTTATGTACGTAACGAGGAAGTCTGTACTTATAAAAACACGAAAAATATATTATATTACAATAGAGGAAGAATAAAACATTCGTAAAATTCTTTGAAATTTATTTGTCAAATTTTATGAAAATATTTAGATTTGGTGAAAAATTATGTTTTGACGTTTGCTTGACGAAAAGTGCTTACAAAATTTTTTTGAAAAGTTCTTAAGTTTCGAATAAAAATGTACATACTCACCTTGGTTCAATCGCGGATGTAGAGTTTGGCGAATCGAACAAACAGCAGGCATAAAACATGTAGATAACCATAAACAAATAAACATATGTATGTATGTGGAAGTAGTATTTGAAACGTCAAACTGTGGGTAGCAGAGGGTTTTCAAGACCGGATCATACATTTATAAAACCMTCAAAGGTGATCTAGAGATTGATTCCCAGARCATACTGAAGTTATGGAAGAAACACTTCTCCAACCTGCTGAATGGCAGTGGAAGCGATTCTCCAATCGATGACTATAGAGCGGACGTTCCATTGCCCGAGTTTGAAGTTCGAATAGCAATTACCCGCTTAAAGAACTACAAAGCGGCGCGACCGATGGATTGCCGGCCAACATGTTCAGATATGTCGGCGGAGAACTGATAAGAATTATGATTCACCTTTTTTGAAAAGAGTTCGTCTGTTTGCCGCTATTTGGTATCCTCACAAAGCTAATACGGCTGTCTAAATTGACAATATTCCGTCAGGATCGGAAAGCTGCAGAACTGAATAGAGAAGATACAATATATCTATCTATTTTGTCAAGAATGCCACGCAAGCCACCAATGAAATTTGCGAAGTCTACAGAGGCGATGYTGTATCAGTTCGTGTAGCACAASAATGGTTCGCTCGTTTCCGTTCTGGAAATTTCGATGTGAAAGATGCACCTCGCTCTGGTCCACCTATCRTTGAAAAAGTCGATGAAATTATGGAAAATATTGACCAAGACCATCGCATAAAAAGCCATGACTTAACATTCATCATCAAACGGTTTTGAACCATTGAAAAAAGGCTGGCTATGAAAAGAAGCTCGATGTTTGGGTACCGCATGTATTGTCTGTGGAAAATTTAATTAACATTTGCGATTCTTTTTTGAAAAGAAATGAAATCGAACCACTTCTAAAACGAATGGTAACAGGAGAGTAGTAGAAGTGGATGAAATACGGCAATATGGTGCGAAAAAGATCATGGGGATGAAGCTCAATAAACGATCTAAAAGCCAGGATTGACGCCTCGAAAGATAATGCTGAGTGTTTGGTGGGATTRGAAAGGAATCATCCACTATGAACTGTTCCTGCCTGGTCGAATTGATCAATAGAAAGGACTTCGTCTTCCATTAGGACAAAGCTGGACCACACACATCTTTGATGACTCGGTTAAAACTGATAGAGATTGGCTAGGAAGTTTTGATGTACAAACCATATAGTCCTGACGAACTACCATTTGTTTCGGTCAATGCAGAACTCCCTTAATGGATTAAAGTTGGCTTCAAGAAAAACCTGTGAAAATGACTTGTGGCAGTTTTTCGCCGAGAAATCAGAAAAGTGTTACACAGATGGAATAATGTCTAGCAAATGGCAAAAGGTAGTCAACCAAAATCGTACATATTTGGTTCATTAAAGTTCATTATAAATATAAAAAAAAAAAAAAATAAATTGAAGTTTGATTAGAAATACGAAACCAGAAAAGTTTTACACTGATGGAATAATGTCTCTGGCGGGAAAATATCAAATAGTACATATTTGGTTCAACAAAGTTCATTATAAAAATAAAAAAAAAAAAAAATAAATTGAAGTTTGATTAGAAATAGGAAACGATTTTTTCGTCTACCCAATATTTGCATCTTCAGAGCGTAGGTCAAAATGAAAACTGATATAAAATATTTTAAGGATTTTTGATTTTAATGAACTTTACCATTTGCATATACTTACTTGATTCCAGAAATAAAATAARAAATCACATTTTCTACATCGAAAATATAATTAAATTAAAAACACTAAATTACAGAAATTCGTGATTTACTAAATATTTGCTTTTCTCATGCGTCAAGTCACGGCTAATTGATAATTATAAATCTAAATTGTTGTAAAATATTCATTTTAAGTGGTAGAACATTTATAATGCAATCGACATGTGGAAAATAGTGCTAAAAGATCATGCGCAATATGATTGAAAAATAAATTGAAAAGATTTCAAGATAACATAGTAATAAAATACATAATCAAAGTATTTGGAACAGGCAAAATATGGTACCGTTATGCAACAAGTGTGCAAGTGTAAATGTGTGCTAAARGTGATTAACTGATTCGATTTGTGTATTGATAATTGTGTAGAGGGGGGGCCTGAAARAAACTGTTGTTGCTACAAATAATTTCTATCTAAAATTTTGAAWTTTAAAATAATAACTTAATTAACTAATAATCGTTTTTTTTTATCAACACATATTTTGTATCTTTGCYCTTGTATGATGATGCCGAGTGTTTTTTTGGACGTGTGATTTTCAAGAAGGTATTAGTTTTTTCGGTGTTGGTCGTTTGGACAGTCGTTACTTAATTTGCATTCGTTTCAGTTTGCCACTTTGTAATGAATGATCTTACTCCGAACAAACGATCGTGGCTTTCACAACAAAATTTTGTTCAGCGTTGAAGTTTGGTTGATAGAATCATTGGTTCATATTTTTTTAAGAACGAACCCGGCTATACTATCAGAGTCAGTGTGGTTTTCCAAAGCTTGCCTGAATAGGAGGATGTTGATGATGCGCTCAATCTATTGAAGGAAACTTTTGGTGTGTATTATCTCTCATGGTGGTCCTGTGGTGTGGTCGACAAGATCGTACGGTTTAATACCGCTGGACTACTTTTGGTGTTTTTGTTGTAACAGTTATCTAGTTCCGTTAGGATATTAAGGTTGAGATAAGTTGTTATCGAGGTCATCCAACGTTCCGTTGCGACGTGGTGAGACCGCTTCGAGAGGGGTTAGCTGAGCATGCAAAGAGGTGGTTAGTGTTATGCGGGGACTCGTTACATGTTGGATATATATTTCCTTTGTTCTTGTCKATTCTGGATAAGTGGGAGTTTAACCTGCTATAGTATCCAGAATGAAGCCGTGCAAGGGTGTTTCTCGATTATCGCGGAAACTCGAGCTCGTCATCTGTGGTTTGACTCCAAGTAACGGCRTTCACTGAGATGGAGTMGGTRAAGGTGTTTATGGTTCCACTGTGAATAACGGTCAGTGCACATCTGAAGTTTGTTGAGTCCGAACTCTGATGGGCGTGTTGTCTTATGTCGTTGTCGTAGTTGGGGTGGTAGGGGTGATTTCTACGAAAGCACTCTATCAGAAACTACTTTTTCGTTTTATATACGTTTGATTCCTTCTTGAAAACCACATGCCCAAAAAACCCTTTATTACTAAAACTTTTCCTTAATCTGAAAATTGATTAAAAGTTTATATTACAATAATTTTATGTAATCTACTTATCGAGTTTGTTTGTAATACTTTTTTATTTTATCGATTAATCGAACCGTATTTTTTATTGCTTTAAAACAGCTTTGTGCCACTAACCGACAATTTTCTGCAAAAAGTACACTGAAACCTCTATGCATAGAACTTAAATATCTCAGATCGTTGGCTAAATGATTACCATCGCTAGAAGTGACTTTCGTTAGTTAGTTTGTATCTTAGTTGGCAATTGGATATATATGGATGCACCAGTTCAAAATAATGCCATTAACCAGAAAACAAGGCTTACTTTCTTGTAGAGACAAACTAGAAGAAATACTTTTTCGAATATCCATAAACTTCTCGAATGTAGTTTTATCTTACGTAGTTATACATACATAAATTACAGAGAAAATCAAAAATTTACTTCGAGTAARCTAGACTGGAACCTCTTACAATTGACTATGAGCAAGCTTACTACTGGGAGAGGTATGAGGCTAAAAATGGGGTAAGAAAAACTTCTTGAAATTGTAAGAAATAATGGGTATTACTCTGACTCAATTGGAAAGYTTCGTCCGCAACATGAAACTCGGGTTGATGGAACACGGACTGAAGAATGTGTGCAATCGGCCGCAAAATCGTTAAATATGCAATGGTACCGAGGAATTTAAGAAACCCTAGCACTGTTTGGGATTACCTCAGCAAATGATTGCTAACTATTCACAAAATTGAATATATTAAAGAGTTGTTGATAGAACTAATGATGTTAAAATATTTTGGTCCATCCCATAGCTGCTACCATAGTTCCCAAACCGGTCGACGTATAGTCCACACTATGCCCTTAGCCTTATTTTTTGCCATACACTACTGTATCACACACGAGGGTTGGCTGTGGTCTGCCTCCTTATCCACTGATTTAGTACGCTTTTCCTCTTTTGACTTCTCCAACATGCATCTATTGTGCAACTTATGCGCTCGGCTACTTAGTGCACCGCCCGTTTCAATTGCTGTTGGAGGCATCACTTTCCCTTTRTTGCCTAAAGCAGTCTCCGCTGGCTGTGAAGACTTGCCGCCATGCGAGTGTGATCGCTTAAATATGCGCGACATATGCAAGCTGCGTCGTAAGTATTCGGACATCCGAATGTGTGTTGGCGACGTTGTGTCACTGAATGGTCTCTGCTTGGGCTGTGGTGTGTCAGACGCTTGCGGTACAACTTTACTACTGACGCAACGTTTTTTCGTGGCGCAACGTAGTTCGGTAGCCGACTCATCGGCTGTCTGACCCCAAGCGGCGCGTCCCGTACTTGGATGTATAACACGGTTTGAGCGCACTTGCTGCACATTGTGATGTTCATAGTTCTCTACGATGATAATGGGCGTGGCTCTGGGCGGTAGACATGCCGGTGGGCTGCAATGATAGTTCGATACTTGAGTAGAGCTTAGTGTTGTTGTGGTGTTTAAATAAATTTGTGGTTKCAAGGAGTGACACTTGKGTGCGTTGACCGCGCGCTGCGATCGAAAACTGCGCCAGCGGAAGATGTGACGCGCRCGACTGAGATAATCGGTTGGATCGTCCGATTTGTCGTCGGACGAATTGGGCGCTGAGCTCAAGTCGCCACATTGCAAATCGCGCACTAAATCGGGTTGTTGCGACAAAGCGCTGGCGCTGCTGTTGCAACGTCGGCGCTGTTGATATCGTTCGTGTTGTTGCTCGTTGGCAAGTTGGTGGTGTTGATGCAGCAGCATGMAGGCGCAGGTGTGCGTATGATTTTTCTSGTGTTTAGTGTTATTACCATTAACGCTGTTGCTGTTATTGTCATTGTTGTGGMAGCTGTTGTTACTATTGTTGCTCAGCGTTTCGAAATTGCTGCTGCCGCCGGCTGTTGTGAATGTGGTGGTGGTAGTGGTGGTGTGTGGTGAGGTGTATGTGTGTAGGTGATTGTGGAAATGGTGGACGTGTTGTTGTTTAAGTGCTAAATGAGCGATTGGTACCTTCATAGAACATGTGACCCATATGTGCTCTTGCAAGGAAAGTGAACGCATTCGCAGCATGCTCGGTTTAAGTGCTAACAAGTGTATTTGATCGCACGAGAGTGAAAACATACCTGTACGTTCGTCGTGATACTCATCGTCATCGGATGACTCAAGGCGATCCTCGACGAGCGATGTTTGCCGTGAGAGACCCTGTGCAGTGACGATTTTGTTTGTTTACATTTTGGTGTGGTTTTTTTTGGTTAGATTTAAATAGTTTAGTGTTGTTGTTTGGTTTTTTTTTGGAAATAGAACAAAAGAGGAAAGAAGCATAAAATTAAGAAGTTTTCTCAAAGACACAATTTACAACTACATACCATACATACATACATACGTACTTATTACTTACATTGCGAAATCATAAAATACTTAAAGAAATATATAATCGACAATACACTTTGTGGCGRTAATAATAGATTTGGTCAGTAATACTTAAGTAGTTGGCAACTCTCGCGAAATAATCTCCAGCAAAAGCATACAATTTTTCCAGTTATTTGKTCGAAAAGGAAGCATTCGATCAGGCAACATTTTTTTTACAACCATTACTAGCTCGGTGGGTAATGGCGGTTTTGCAAACACTGACTACTTGAGCATATTTTTCAACTGGTAAAGAAGTTTYAAAGTAGGCTTAGAAAAAGATGGTTGGTGTAAATGTGTTATGACTCGAACATGAACGATGGAGTTGGTTCGGAATGCCAGCGTTAGTCTTTTAAGTTGCCGGACCATTGCAGAATATTTAAAGCTGAGGTCTTTGCTATTGTGAAAGCCGCGGAGTTGGCCCCTAATGCACCTGCAAAGACCATTCGCGTCATGAACCTAGTAACTGATCTCCCGCTAGTTTTATTTACTCGGAGTTACAAAATCTCTAATGTTGTCCTAAACTCGTTGGGAGGCTTTACTCTTCAGCTGCTGGACAGGCTGAAGTATAATACATGTTGCTTATTTCTGAATTAAAGCTTTCCATGGTAGTCAAACATTTAATCTGCTGAAGAGAAGTAATTAGGAAAAGATGAGACCTCTCACTATAAGCGGTTTTCTGGTTTCATGAAACCATCTTTAAGCCAATAATGTTTTATGGGGTCGTTGTCCGGCCCAAAGTGAACCGTAAAAGGTCCTCCAAAATACTTGCATTTAGCAAAATAAATCTCGCCTCAATTTAAAGTGTTTTGGCTGGAGACTGTCCAATAGTTTCATAAGCGGTGCGGTMAAATATTTTGACTGACGTTTCTTGCCAAAATTGTATGTAAGAAATTAATCAACTTGTTACTTTCTGTACTATTGTCCGGCATATGCTAGACTGAGTTTAAAATATCTCGCTGGACACAATTTCGGCGAATCTGGCGAAGTGACTAGTATTGATATTAACCGCCTTAAAAATTGATATTTTTTGATAAGACCAAATCTTTTCGTCGATCTTAATTTGAAAGAGTAAAAAATACAGCTGGTACAAGAACTGAAGCCACCGGACCTTGCCTAGTGAAATCGCTTCGCTCTATGAGTTCTTGAAAAGTTCCGACGTTTTCGAGACAAATTTTGTTCAGGGATGAGGCGTATTTCTGACTCAATGATTATGTAAACAAGCAAAATTGCCGTATTTGGGGCAAAGAGCAATTTGAAGAGCTGTCATTTTATAATAAATAGAAATAAAAACGGTTTGGTGTGGTTTGTGGATCGGTTTAATCATCAGTCCATATTTCTTCCAAAATAATGACGGTGATAACGGAACCGTGATTGTTATCGCGCGATGATAGCCGGCTATTTGATGCCTGAAAATAAAGCTCGTGCTCTCAGTGACATTCGGTTTYGCCAAGGCGGCACTTCCCACACATCGCATTTATAAATGGATTTATTAAGAGAACACTTCGGTGAGCATATAATTTCACGCTTTGAGTCGATCGATTGTCCACCAAAATCGTGTGATATCACACCATTCGATTTTTTACGGTGGGGATGTGAAAAGTCTAAAGTCTATGCGGGCAATGCCGCTTTGATTCAGGCCTTAAAGCAAAACATCATGCGTGACATTCGCCAGTTACCAGTCGAAATGCTCGAACGAGCTATTGAAATTGGATTAAAAGGATGGACCATCTGAGACGTAGCCGCGGTCAACATTTGAAAAAGATAATCTATAAAAAATAAYAGTCAAAGAATATTCTCGATATATTCGAATGATAATAAACATTCTTCACTAAATTTGAGGTTTTTGTGTTTTTTCTTTAAACAATCTATATATGTAGAGGAAACTATTTCCCAATTATTTCATAAAGTATGCTAAATAGTGCTTATTCATGTTTGCTTGAGATTATTTTCTGAGTTGCAACTTTCTGTTTGCAAATACTACCCAGTGCATTAAGAGYGTGAGATCGATAACAGAACACTAGAGTTGCCATGTAGCTAATACTATAAGCGATGATGTGAAAAGTTATTACTTTTTGAATTTTCTTATTTATAAACTTAGGTGATCGCAATACAAACTAACACAATAAAGCCAAGCACTAAGTTTATGGGCTTCTAAATATTAATATTAACAAGCASTTTCTAACTTTATTACATAATAGTACTATATATGCACAAATATTTAGTTTATTTTTAGATTAAGCCCGGCAATAGCTGAGCATATTTTTCTAAATATACATGTGTTTAGCGGCTAACTGGAGATTAATATATATGTATATATTTTAGTATATAGTTATTGTCATATTGTTGGGCAAAAATCATACAATAAAAATCAGTTTTAGTACAATTGATTTACAGTTACTTTATAATTTTTGAAAAAGAGGTTTCGTTTGTGTTTGACCTACCGCATTGTGTCTYCTACGCGGTGGCGAGCGTTTGTTCCATAATGCCTCCAGCTGATCGAAGTGCTGCGATTGTGCCAAAGCGGCTTGCTCCGGACCAAGATTGGTCTGCGAAGTGATTGTTTTCATTTCGGCTATTTTCGAAATCTCCTCCATGCTGGCGGAGACAGAAAAGCGCCGCTTCAGACGCTCATCCACTTGTGCCATCATAACCGATGAMGTCAGATGGCCGTATTTCTTCTGCCACGTGTAGGTGTCCAGCGATACCTCCTTCTTGAGTAAACGCTTCATTTGTCGCTTGGGACCTTGTGGACGTAAGTCTGTGAAGTTAGTTTAAAGAAATTATATAAAATATTGAGCAATTTTATTGCAATAGCAGCAAACCTTCGGCATCCATTGCCGGCGCCGAGTAGGTGGGCAACTTRACATATTGTGCTGGTGTGTTGTGTAGACAAATAACGGGTAAATTGAAACTCTCCATCAATTGCACTAATATACGCGAACACTCCAGRCTGATGTCGAAACGTTGGAAGGGCACATGCATTTGTAGCGAGGTGAGCGCCAAGCCACGTTTKGTCTCCCAAACGATGAGTGTCTTATCGTCACTGCCCGAAATGGCCGTTGAACCTGGCGTAAAATTGAGTAGAAATGTTCCCTTAAGTTTTTGCGCTTCACTTTAAATAGTCATACATACCATCTGCCGACACTTTGACGCCCAGCACCGGTGCTAAATGGCCGGCTAGCGTGTGCAGCTCCTCGCCGGTATGCAGATCCCAAATGATGAGATTGGTATCCTTTGAACCRGATATGACTTGTGTCTTGTTGGTCACTGATACTGCCACGCAATTCACTGCATCGGTATGCCCGACGAGCACTTGTGCCAGCTTGCCGCCTGTGGCTTGCCATACCTTTAAGGACATATCACGCGAACCGGTTATTATATACAAACTGTCGGCGGTAATCGTGAAGCAAGTGATCTCGTCCGAATGCGAYACTGTGTACTTTTCATCCTCACGTGTCAGCGACCAGATTTTCAATGTGTTGTCACCATTTGTAGAGACCTTTGCGGAGTTGTTAGARAGTGGAAAAGTTTTTGTAAAGATGTCTCAATATAAGTTATATAATTAATATACGAGATGGGCTCYATAAATATTTTATTTAAAATAGTTCAGTTTGTAACCAGGTGGCAACACTTTCCAACAATATTTTAAAATTTACTTTAAACTTCAATAGCTTCAGGTATTTCAATAATTTTGATTTTATAGTTTTCACACGATCAAAATTTGAAATAGGTGGCAACCCTGTCGAACTATTTTTAAATAAATTCTAAAAATCACTGCAAACCGTTCCCCCTTACAGTTTTGTTTTTAGTAAATTGAATTTTTTACTTAAAAATTTCAAAATATGTGGCAACATCCTCACTTTTTCTTTTAAATAATTTAATTTTTACGCCGACTAATCTATATAGCTACAATAATTTGACCAGATTTTGTAGTTGCTATTGGTTATGTAAACGCATTATTTTACTAACAAAATTTCAAGCGAGTGGCAACTCTCTACTTTATTAGTTTTAAATTACTAAAGCTTTATATCGTTTAATTCAAAAAATTATTCAAATCGTTTCAGATTTCCCTACATTATCTCGCAGACCACTGCGAACGTGACTCATTTTTGTTGCGCTAGACAATTTCGTTGCAGTTGTTCGTTTTTATTACCATTTACGAAGCAGTAGCGATTAATGGAAAAATCTTTAATGTTTGCTTGACCATACATTTCCTCTTACTTCACAGATTTTTAACTATATATGAAAGATCGTGTCATGCTCGTACTAACCCTTGGGAACGGGTAAATTACAAATTTGTTTACTCACCGCGAATTTCATATTATTTGTGGCGGCCAAAAACTTGTAYGGTCCCTGTATGGTTTGCAATAAGTTGCCGCCTTCGGCCAACCAYACATACATCATGGAATCGCGATCGGTCGAGATGATGCGGCGTGAGTCCATGAGCACAACAACGCAACAAACCGACGCATTGTGACCCTGTTATACACAAAATATAAATTTCAGCTTAATCACACACATATACGAACACCTTTACTACGACAACTCACCTTAAAGGAGTTTGTTACTTCACCCAACGCCAAATTCCAAACATTCACTGTGCGATCATCCGCACCCGTTGCTAAGTACTCACCGTTCGGCGCAAAATTTAAACATGTCACAGGGGCTGCGTGTCCATCCAGAGTCGTCTGATACTCGGGTGTGTTGATCTTCAAAATGTGTACGCTGCGACTCGAAGCGATGGCGGCCAATTGTGAATCACGTGATATATCGAAACATGTAATCGGTGGCAGCGTGGTCGATGGGGAACGTTGCGATTGCTGGGCACGTTTCAATGAACGTTTTCGGCGCTGATTATGCGAGTACGGATGTACGTAGAGTTCTTCGTTACGGAATGAATAGAAAGTGATTTTATTACCGCCGACTGTGATAAGGAAATCATCGTTATCCATTATATATAGAGCTGAAATCGAACCGGGATTGGGTGGCATTGAGCGTATCAGACGACCGGAATGCATATCGTAAATGAGTGCGCGTGTGTCCTCGCCCCCAACGACGGCGCGTTGACTGTCCTTAGCGATGGCAATAGCATGGAGCTATGAGAGAGAGAGTGAGCATAAGTGAGATTTAAGCAGTCGAAAGAAAAATTCTCTGCAAATTTTAATGGCACAGAATTGAGGTGAAATAGGTAATACTTTTTTCGGAAAGATTTTATATTTTAAAGATCGTATAATTAGCTATCCTCTTTGAGTATGTAGTCTCATCTTTTAAATTTTTTAGATAATCTTTAATGATTATGTATTTAATTGCTAAGGCTAAGAGTGTAAGTGAAGTAGAAAATTAAAATATTTTCATCTTTCAGCCTTCAAATAAATATTCCTTTCCACTCCTCTTTTTATCGCGTTCTCCCTCTTTTTCCAATAACCTCTTTTATTATTTTTCTTTACACAATAAACTCATTTCTCATAACTCACCTGTGACTTGTGACCTTTGAGGGCATGTAGCTCCTTGCCAGTGGCCAATGTGCGCAAATACAGGACATTATCTTCACAATGCGCCAACAGAAAGACCTGCAAAAGAAGAGCATAAAACAACAACAGTTAATGTAGCTTTATGACGCAGTGAAGGGAAAAATTGTGTTGAATGATAAAGAAAAGGTGCGAAAATGTTTAATTTTATCGGTAAAAGACAGCAACTGCGGTGAGAAGGGATTAAAACTTTTATAGTTTCAAAAACGGTACTTATTGTGAGCTATGCACTTCGCATTTAAACATTGAAAAAAGTTGAAACAGTTGAAAAAATATTAAAGAGGGCCTCACAGTGCAACTACAGTTTAAATTTTCTACAATTTCAGTCGATAAATTAACCCTTAATTTTTGCAATAGATGGTTTGCCAAGTGCGATCGGGTTACATACATTTTTCAAACAACAAAAAAAAAAAAAAAATCGCAGTGGTCTTTTAAGAAAATTGCCAAAGAGGTTGAGCTAACCCTAAAACCATTTCTCGCGTAATGAACGCTTTAAGGTAGATGTGCGTATTGAGAGGAAGTAAGGTTCTACTAATAATAAGAAGCCGCATGATCGTGAGAAGGGAAAGAACGTTGTGACTATTCTCCAAAATTAACCGAAGCATTTCAGGCAGGAAATCGGCGAGGAAGGCTGGCTGCTCAAAATCTTTCATACGCCGAATGAAGAAGAAAGTTTGGATGAAGACGTATAAGGTACAAAAAGTGTCACAATCTACGATGTCATAGAGTTGACAAATCCCGAAATATGAAAGGCAAACTACGTGGAAGCAAAAGCTTGGTTGGGAGGTTATTATGCATCGCCTGGCACTAATTGCTAACTACTCCTTGTTGATGAAAAATGCGCTTCACGAGAATCTTGTAAAAATCRACTGTCCCAGCCTTTTTCTAATAAGAACAGAGCAGTTGCAGTTGGCGATGAAATTAATGGACTTTATTGTTAGCCCTACCACTGAGAGCGCATTACTACAAAACTACCCACAACATACWGTTGAGTTAAAAACCTTAAAAATATAACTACTGTAAAAATTTTATAAATGAGAGTTTTTAGGAGTCAGTACCAACATTTCAATTTCAGTAAAGGACAAAATAAATCTGTCTCCTATCCTAGAGAATTATACAGTGGACCCAATTTAAAATTGGTGATTAAAAATKATCTCAACTTTTTGTTTGGTCTCTTTGAAGAAGATATATAAGAACAAAAAACCAACAGTTAACCTTTTGCCATGAGTAAGACATAAAAATTTGGCGATGACAATGGTAAATAAAAATACAAAAAATAGACTTTTACACTCTTTTCACGCCTATTACATCCGCACATAAAGGTGGCAGAGCCAGGACATTTTCATTTTTGCCGTCAAAATTCTTTACGCTTATTTAACAACCAATACGAGTATCAGCGCTCCAGGCTGCGGCCAGCTGAGCTGATAATTTACGAAGACTCACTGCACTGTGCATGTGTATGTATGGCTGTCTGTGTTTTCGCAAGAATACCACAGATGTGCTGGCTGCCGTTAAATGAAAATGCAGAAAATGCCAAGAGTCAAAAGACGAGCATACCGCCACGTTAACACATTTGCACACACACATATAGAGATGTGCTGCCGAAACAGAAAATACCAATAAACTTATCCTCAAGTAGAAGCTGTGCGAAATGCCGAGACTGGAGTGTACGTGTTCCACAAAAACGCAGTTGTCTGTGCAACAACAAAGCGACAATACATTGGTGGTAAATCCATTTCCGSTCAACGTGCAAATGCTACGAAAAAGAGTGAAAACTAAAGCATGATTTTCGCAACTTAACTAGCTTGGTCCGGTCCAACTGACCTTTTGATAAATGTCCACTCTGCCTGTTATCTGCACAGACATGTTGATTTATCACAATGAAAAAAAAAAAAACAACAAGACGGCAGTATAAGTGCTGTTTATACGTGAGTGTACTTAGAGCTGCTCGCTCTGTAACTGACAGGGCTACACGTTCAGCCACTCAACTATACAATTCTTCAACTAATTTTCTGTTGTGTTTGAGCGATTTCGGTTTGTTGAGTGCTTCAAGCATTTTCTTGTTTTTTTTTTTTGTGGTGTTGAGACAACATGCTTTGTGCGCTCGTTGAGGTGTCAAATGACAAATCAATGTCTGTATTTTACATCGAATGAATGTTGTGAATTTAACTGTGTCATTAATGGCACGAAATTATTATATTATTGAAGCGTTTTTTATACATATGTATATATAGGGAGAAGTAGATATTGTTTCTGTCCTGAATGTGGCACATACATGTCTGAAATTTAGCACGAAGTTTGTGATACCTAGAAGGGCACGTCGGAAACGCTATAATATATATATATATATRTATGTACATATAAGCGATCAGCCTGACGAGCTCAGTTGATTTGAACATACCCGTCTTTCTATTATATATATATCGCTATGGAATTTTGCACACATGCTTTTCTCTCCAAGAAACTGCATATTTGTGGAAATGACTGTTATCGGAGCACTATAGCATAAAGCTGTCATACAAACTGGAWGATAAAAATAAAGTTCTTCTATGGAAAACATTTTTATTTGACAAGATATCTTCATGAAATGTTGCACAGATTACTGCTAAAGTCAACGCTACAGTATTCGAAAATAATATTCAGATCGCACAACTAYAGCAAATACCTTTCATACAAACTGAASGACCAAAATCAAACTTTTGTATGAAAAACTTWTTTATTTGAGCAGTTATCTTTGGAAAACTTTGCATGAATAATTGTTTAAGACAACTCTAAAATCTCTGAATTGTTTTTTTGGATTGGACCGCTATAGCATAGCTGCCATATTATTGGTCGATAAAAACTCTATCATTGTATGAAAAATTGTTTGTTTGGTGAGCTATCTTCACAAAACTTTACATGGGTAAGTTTCTAAATTAAAGCTACAATCTCCGAACAAATGGTTCAGATCGGACCACTATAACACATAGCTGACATACAAACGGATCAATCAAAATGAAGCTCCATAMATTTTTTATTCAAAATCATCTTTATTCATCTAAAAAATTTAGACTCTTCTATTTAACTTAAAATCATATATGTGTATGATAAATATTAACAATCTTACAGTGTGTCATATACTAGCAAATATGCAAGAAACCGAACCATATAAAACCATAGCAATCACACTTATACCAAATATGAGCACTGTTGATACGGCATTAAAGTGGTTATATGATAATCTTCATACAAAAAGTCACAAATATATTGCTGTAGTGCATAAAATTCTATAAAATATTAAGTTTCACAAAAATCACAAACACAGGTGTTGCGTATATAGGAAACCTAGTCGCTAATACGCCGCAGGGAAAACGAGAAAGTGTCGCTGTTTGTGGGCCAGAGAAATCAACGTTTATAACCACAGCAGGTTAAGGTTAAAGCAATAGCAAATAAATAACCAAACAAGTTCAATAAGGCATGCATACATTCATATGCATATAACACCTGTCTCTTATACACATCTAGAGCAAATAAATAACCAAACAAGTTCAATAAGGCATGCATACATTCATATGCATATAACACAGTGTTAGGTTGCGTATACGCCATGTCGCAATTGTATTGCACCATTTATCTGTATTGAACTATTTAGCTCACTCATACGCCGTGTCGTTTGTGTGTGTTCATTTCATTTGAATGCTTATTTCAGCACTTAATTCTCTTCAATTACGCATGCGAAATATCWATTTTAATTAAATACAACAGAAATGATATATTTCGGGGCACTTACCGAGTCACATGAGATGTCAATTCGCCGCACCGGACTGCACATCTGCATGCTGTTCAGCAGCGTATAATCATCCAAGGACCATAAGCAAATTGTTTTATCGCGACTTGATGAAATCAACACATCGCAGGCATTGCTAACCTTCACGCTCGTCACAGCAGCGCGATGATGTGTGATTTTGTGCAGCTACAAAAGAGAATAAATTAATATAAATGTTAATGGAAAATTTTATGACTGAGGTGAAATGACTTTCAATATTCTATAAATAAATTGTTAAGTTTTTGTAAYAAATAGCAATCTACGCTTATAACGAAAAATGCTTTTATTAAAGCTCACAATTTTTTTTGGTTTTTAAGCAGTCAAAAGTCGCTTTTAAAAGTTTGCTAGTCAGCTGACATATATAGTTAGTGCTGTCTGCTTGTAGCGCGTCATAAATGTTCAAATAAAATTTATTACGTGCTAGCTTGGCGAGCGCTTGACAGGCACACTTATACTCAACTTATAAATATTCAAATTTTTATATAAGCATATGTGACTTGGGAACACTTCGCAATGAAGGAAATTCATTGCTGTCAGGTGATTGAAAATCAAACATAGGTATTAATCTTTTAGTTATAATTCGGAAATAATTGGTTTTTGAAACTTTCTTCATAGAATTCTAGAAATTCAGATTTTTTGCTATTAAAACTATAGTAGATCACCTTTAGAGATATTTCGGTGAACTGTGTAATATGCAGCTCAAATTTGCTTCAAGATTCGTATTTAAACGTCAAAATATCTAATTTAAGGTATTTGAAGGCCTTCTTTAACTCAAAATTCAGTCAGCTTATATTGAACTTAATTGTCTGATGTCAAAATTCTTGCTGGGCATATACCTGTACGAACGCAAGCAGCAATATGTGCATGGCATATTATGCATCTGACATTAGACGGATGTCCAAACGGAAGGCCAACGTGCTGTGAACCACTATGTTGGATGGACAAACACTTTACTCTTCGCATGTTACAACATTGAACGAAAGGGGGTATTATTATATAATACTTGTATAACTGGAAAGTGAATGTATTACAATTTAAATAATTTTTAAAGAAGTAAAGTGTGCAAATAAGACACATTTTTAAATGTGATACATGACGAATGTGTTGCCAAAATACTAAGATAGCTTCACTAAATATGATAGCTGAATATTAAAATTTTTTAGTGGATCCTATAAATATTTCGAAATGGATTTCTGTCAATTTATGGTTGATCCAAGTAGAGGTATTTTTTTCAAAAGCCCATTATTGAAAGGTTGTAAGAAGATCTGACGTTTTCGAGACAAATTTTGTTCAGCGATGAGGCTTATTTATGACTGAAGCGTTTCAGAGAGCAGATAATTTCACGTTTTGAGTCGGTCAATTGACCGCCAAGATCGTTAGTTCAAGAAAACTTTCATTTCGTTTTGATTTAAAATTTAATATTTCAATAATTCCAGTAAGCTTTATTGTCTTAGTTTTGAGAACGAAATACTAAAACAATTTAAAGCCATACTTAATATCTTCTGATGTAAACCGTGAACAGACATCTGATCAAATATGAACCGGACTGACAYAGAAAATAATATAAATTTACTATCRCCATCAAAATAGGCTATTTTTGAACAAATACACTTTTATATTACACCAGCTGTCACAGCCCGCTGTGCCCTCCTAATTTTTTCAGCGCCATTTGCTAGATTTTTCCGATTTCATATTCATAAGCCCACGTTTCGTCTTCAATAACGAGGCATCTCATGAACGAAGGGTCTTCTGCTACGKTGYAAAGCATAKYTTTTTCGACCTCTACCCGAAGGGTTTAGGTCTTTTGGGTGCGAGTCTAGGAAACAACAAAACCCTTSTGCAACATTTTCAATGACTCCGTAGCTGTGATTACATTGGAAACACAAAATTTCGAGCAAATTCGTTGTTCAACATTTTTCCATATTAAAAAGCGTTAACTTTTTTTCCTCTTAAATATAGTTTGTAAAGTATACACTCATTTTAATACGCAAAAACAAATTGTATCAACTTAGTTGCGCGCTGAGTGGTTTGAGTCCGGGTCAAATTTGATCAGATAGTAAAACACCCACAATTCTTATTATTTTTGTTTTTATATATTTATATATTCATTTGAAAGCACAGAAATTTGCAATATTGTAACGMCTGTTATTACTTATATGTTATACCAAGTAAATTAGGGAGGATGAAATAAATTAATGTTTTTTTCGCTTGTTACTCTTAAAAGTTGGTTGATAAACACCTCTAAGAAAGGCTATCCAATTATTAGCTCTTAATTTCAGCCGGAAGACGCTCCGACTAAGGATTTTTTTTTATTAGATAGAAAAATTTGTATCGCGCTTGCAAATACATAACAAAATATACATTTAGAGCCTTTCTTGGACGTACATATATATCAGCCATTTTTGCAGAATACGAAGCAGAAGAAACATTTGCTTTTGACCCACTCTAATACACATGCTTACTAACATAAAATAGTTAAGGTTTCATGCTCATTTTTGTACAATTCTGTGTATTAACCAATTGCTTTGGAAACTTTGCAATCACATTTTTTTATCGCTTTGCACTATGGTACTTAACCGCTCTACTTACCAATCTGCCGTTGTGTATATCTGAAATTGCAATCGTCGAGTCCTCACTGCCACTAATGGCCAACGTATTATTGACGCCAGCTGCGACGCACGTCACAATGCCACCATGAGATCTGCAGCACAAAGAAAATAGTCGGAAAAAATATCAGAAATAAAGTAATGGCAAGTAATGAGTAGAAAAAGAGAAGTGTAATTGAATCGAAAAGCGACAACAACAAGCACTGCATACAAACGATACACACGCAACTCATACAATTAAATCTCAGCGTAATTGTGTGGAGACATAGTACAAAAGTACGCGTATAATGGATCGGGTCAGTTGGATTGAGCGGTGGCTTGCATGCACTTACTTAATGTGGGTCTTCAGCACACGCGTCGTCACGTTCCACACAAGTACCGTGTTGTCCTCGGAGCCAGTCAGCAGGATATCGGATTGTTGTGCGACTAGCAGGCACGTGACTGCGGCGGTGTGACCTATAACGGCGAAGAAAATGCGATATGAAAACTAATGAAACCGAGAAGAAAAAAAAAAACAGTTACGAGTAAACAAACCGAAAAATTGCATGAAAATCAATGGCAGTGGCAATTAGATGATAATAGTGATAGTAATTTGGTGAAATAAATGAGCAAATCGAAGCACACAAGTGTCTGCAAAAGAGTGGCGTGTCGTTAAGTACATAAGTACAACACGCCACTGTTGCACGCACCCGCGTATTGGGGAGGAGTAGTCTGTAATTAAACACCGTTATTTGCGCTCACCTTTAAAAATGTGCTCCAACGAATTGCTCATTATGTGCCATAGTTGCACGTCGCCCGACTTGGTTGCCAATATGAGATGTTGCTTGGTGGGCGAGACGCAGACATCACGCACCTGTCCGGTGCCGGTCACCGTCATCACGCGTATCTGCGAGGGCAAAGTGGCCGGCAGCCAGCCGGTGAGTGGCACCAGCAGTGGCACAGTGTAGCCGTCGCACCAGGCGGTCGCCGAGCGTACCGTTATGCTCAGCAGGGAGTTGTCGTTCTCGTCATGCTCGCTGATTGGCCGCAGCCAGGAGATGAGCTGTCGCAGAAGTGACAAAATAAAGAGGATACCTTTTTAAAAATGCATTTCGTATGGCTGTGTGTGTGCCACATGTTACACTTGTGTGTATATAGCAGTATTTCATTTTATCACTTTATTTTGGTTAACTTTACCTGTGAGCCAAGCTGCATTGGATCACGTGTGAGCACGTCGCTCGACTTGCGTATTGTATAATAGATGAGCTCGATATCGCGATCCAGCAGATAGCAACGCACATGCTCGATGAGGCAACGMAGATAGCTGATGGAGACGGTTTGAACCTGTAATGGAGATATAGCGTATATGTTAAGCACTTRTTTGTATGTAATTATGTTCTACAATGTTGGTAAAATAAAGCGAAGACTTAACGGTTAAAAATTGCCTTTACTGTGGTATTTAAGATCAAGGAAGGAAAATAGGTTCCACTCTGTAATTTTGAATTGTAATATTGAGTTCGAAATACTTAATATAATGTAATGTGTTACTGAGACATTTTTCCTAGCACTTCAGCAAAACATTTGTCTATGAGTACAGTTTCACGTTTCAATCACGATTTTTTTATTATTTTCGACCTGTTATATAGTTATGATTATGAAGCGGCTCACTTTGTGATAGCACTGCCATCTGATTTCAACAAGACTGGTCTATACAAACTGCCTTGTCTGACGATTTTTACCACGAAAACAAATTAAAAAACTAGTTTGCTTTAAAGTTTTTGTTTTTAATAGATCATAGAAGTGTTTCTTGGAGTCTACCCTAACATAAACATAAGTACTTGAGAGCACAAGCATTCTCTGAAGGTTGTGAAGTAGTCAAAAATTAGGCAGGACGATGCCCATCGTCCTACCATCTCTAATAATAACAATGAGATAGCAAAAGTTAAAGAAAGAGTGATTGGAAGACGTTTGGGCTCATAGTGGGACTAGAGGATTTCAACAACTTTTTTTTAATGGCTCAACAATTTTTGGTACATGTCTTGGATACGAGATGTGTCATAGCTAAACTCGTACGGAAATACCTGAATCTTTTGTAAAAATTATATCGCGTGGCGGTCGACAAAGAGATGTTTGACAACGTAGCTATTGACCCTACATTCGTCAAACTCATCATTACTAATGATGAGATGTGGGGTTATGAATATGATACATTAGCGCTTCAAAACTGAGCTGATACCGACGAAACCAAAACTTGCTGAAAGCCGTCTGAGCAGAGGTTTATAACAAGCGTATTTTTATTGTGCATTGAAATACTTGTATCGGCACGAAAAAAGCCCATTTTCAGGGAAGTAATGTGAATTCATAATAAAAAATGTGAAAATGTAGACTTCTTGTTGCCAGTTTACAAGAAATTCGAGTAGATGATACTTCGGATCGAATTGCCTTYATTTCTCGGATCAGTATTGTTATTCGCGCCGTTGAAAACTATCTTTCCAACCAAATTCTTGTGGAMAAATGCAGAAATAACAGAAGCAGCGGCAAACCGAAACATAGATGTATTGATGGTATGGACCAAGAYACTGAAGCGCTGGAACTATGACGCTGCGAGCTCAAGCAAGGAGCAGACATATTTGGATAATGAAATTGCAGCAAGCGAAGACATGCAACGGTTTGTGAAGAAGAGGTAAWGATAATGTTTTTTGGGAAAAACTTACAGAATTACAGCTTCTGTGTTATCTTTTCAAGCTTTGGATTTAGATATTTTCATTTCGTCTSTTACTAAATTCTGTTGTGTTTAGGCTAAACTCAGAAACCATTGGATTCGAAAGAAACATCTAAAACAAATGAGAGATTTAGAAGCTTCTTAAGAAGCTGTACTATTGTAGATAGTGAACTGTGTGCTTCGAACTGATTTTATTCCTTCAGGYTTATATTCAAAGACGTGACGTTAGTTTGAGTTTCGAATAAATCTACAAAGAAGTTGTTCGGAAACTACTTTCAAGATAGCGGTTTTAAATCGATTTTGTTGGATTTCAAAAATTTCACTGAACTTGACTCGAAATATGAATATATTTGTCAACTTATTTGAATTTCATTTATGTAGTTTCTTTCAAAGAAGAATAATTTTGAAAATTCACAGAAGTCAAAAGAAGGTTTAAATAATCATAACCGCTATTCGGATAAGGGAGGACAAGTATATACTGTGCAATTTATACATATATCACTCTTAGTTCCAGGTTTTGGTTTTGAAAAATTATCAAAAGATTGTTCTCAGAACAAAATCAATTTCAAAAGCAATTCAAAGACCTTTTTAGTTTAATTGAAATATACATTCAATTTAGAGCAATTACTGCAATTAACAATTAAATGGCAACATTGTTCAGCTGACGAGGGCAGCAATCGCAATTTACATCAGCAAACAATTACTAAGCAAACTAAGTGAAAATCCAAGAATATAATTTAAACAGCGCTAAAAGATTGAATCAGACACATTTTACACAGAACAAAGCCATTCGTGCAACTTTCCGCCTACAGCAGTAGCAGCAACACATACACATGCAAACATTATCCTTCCTCTTAAACAATCTTGAGCTTTTCTACGGATGCAGGCAACTTGAGCCGCTGAGCAAGCGAAGCAATTTCGAAATTTTGCCGCTGCAAGCAACAACAAAATACTCGTATTRTTTTYCTAAGAAATCGACGAAGTTGAGCAAGTGAGAAAGCAGCGGYGCACATAAAAACAAAATTGTTGAAACTGAAAACTAATAGCAGAAATTGCAACTCGAATGACACTGTTTTGTTGGATATACGCTTTTGTTAGCTTAATTTCCGTGCTGCAATTTTAGTTGTACAAAGAGTGGCTGAAGGGCAAGCGTCGTCGTCGCTGTGCGGCAGACTAAGTATATGCAACACGAACGGCAGTTGCTGCAAACAGCGCGCAACAAAAGCAACGCCAGCAAACAGGAAGCCGACGTAGTGCAGCAGCAAAGCAAAGTTAAAATAATAGTAGACGGCGGGACGACAGGCCGTATGATGAATGTGGGTTGTAGGTGGCGGCGTACAAGCGCTTGGCCTTACTCTGCAAACAGCGTCCGAACTGCTGGCAGGCATTTCAATTGGCGCGCTGAAACGCATGTAGAGGAAACCCTAGATACGGCCTTAGGGCATGCATTTCGCTAAATTAAATATGGCGTGGCGAACGAACGCTGATATGCCTCGCAACTGTGCGATGCGATGTAGAAATGCAGTTTCTTTGCAGTGCGCGCCCGACTTGCTGTCAATAGTTTTAATTAAAAATGCAAAGTTTGCATACGTAATTAAATAAAGGTTTCGTTTCTTTGCAGTAAATGTGCAATGTAAGCGGGGCAAATAGAAAATTGGACARGGCGCACATTTAAGGAGTATTTGCGATTTTTTTTAATTTTAAGTAGCGACTTTTTGATCAAAGTTTTATATGCCAACTCAAATTAGTTATTTATRGTCTTAAATATAAATGTTTCTATGCATCAAAATATACTCTACTGTTTCTGCCTTACTGGTACCATATAATTGCCATCTGATCAAAACTGAACCGSACTGAGAAAAAATCCAAAATTTTCACGAAATTTGTGCAAATATTTATCATCGCCTTAAAAAAAATCTTTTTGAGCCATTCCCTCAGCGAAATTAAATTTCTTCGGCCTCGGCAAGTTATTGCTAGATTGTTAGAYAGCTTCAACATCATAGGCATCTCTTTTACGACAACTACTCGACGTTTTCGCAAATTATTCAGATCTTTGTTACAAGTACAGAATTTAAACGATTCATACCCAAAACTTTAACCAGAACATGTTGATTGAATTCATACGAGACGTTGAGATAATATGCTATCTCTCTGATGTCAACATAATGATTTTCAAGGTCTGTTTCGGTAACAGAGGATGTATGACTCCCATGGGTTGAGTTTTCGATGGCTTCGCGACTTTATCTGAATGCTTTGAGTCGCTTAAATATTTGTATTCGTGATAAAATAGTGTCCCTAAGATATTTAAGCAACATTTCAATGATTTTATAGTAGTGATTCTATTCGGAGTAAAAAATTTCAAACAAACTATTTTTCTGATTTTTTTTTTTCATGGTCAAAATCGCGCCTTAAAACCCAACTGTCAAACGCACACCAGTTCATAYATGGAGGTAAAACTTGATACGAACATWAGGAAGTTCATACCAATTTAATAAWTATATTTTGGCGAACRGAGACAGTCCGGGTCAAATTTGATCGGATAGTATTCCGAATGTAGTGAAAACAGAAGTTCCATTCGAACATAAAGAATGTCCTACCAATCTAAGAAAATATTMTTTTCATCGAAATATATCAGTCCGGGTCAAATTTGTTCAGATAGGATACCGACAGTCATGCAAAAAGAAGTTCCATTCGAATATGAGGAAGGTCGAAGAAAATATTTTTATCGAAAGAACCAGTCCGGGTCAAATTTGATCATATGGTAACCGACAATAATGCAACAAGAAGATCAATTCGAACATATGGAAGGTGGTATGAATCTAAGAAAATATTTGTATCGAAAAAACCAGTCCGGGTCAAATTCTATCAGATAGTATTAAGACAGTAAAAAAAAATCTCAAGAAAATATTTTTTTATCGAAAAAACCATTCCGGGTCAAATTTGATCAGATAGTATACCGACAATAATGCACAAGAAGTTCCATTTGAACATAAGGATGGTCGTATCAATCTAAGAATTTTTTTTATCGCAATAAACCAGTCCGGGTCATGTTTGATCAGATAGTATTTCGACAAAAAAATGGAATGAAAATTTGTATGTGTAAACGTCTTTGCACTTACCGCTGCCAGAAGAAAGTCGAAATTACAAACAGCAATTTGCTTAAATTTCGCAATATCATCGGAACGCATCAAATGATGCCAACTCTCTTCCACATGACGCATGCTGTACGAGACATCGGCTGCGATGGGATTATAAAAGGTGGATGTATCATCATTGTGATGTGATGATGATTTGCGTTCGGATATGCTCTCTTTCTCCTTTTGACTGATAACTACAAAGCAGAAAATAAATAAAAAGATTTATATATTTTTTTTATATATTGTATTTTTTATATATGGATGTGTGCAAAGTAAATTGGAAAAATAACAACAAGTATTTCATATTTTCATGCTTTCTATAGACAATGCATTTACATTTCACTTTTGTCATAAATAATTTGCTTTACTGGGAAATAAAAGCCKTGGCTTGCCATGGCTTATAAGTTATCACACGCCAGCATTCGTAATGTAAGTAAAATAACTGTATTTTCAATTCACCTGAGTGTTTGTCACTTTCACCTGAGGCATTCTCACTAGTGCTGGCGTCGTTTTCCTCACTCTCCTGCTGAAAGAATATATTGGCAATGGCTATGTGCATGGCACGTGTGCTCTGGGCGTCCATATAGCGCTTTCTCGAGAGCTCGGCGCAGTAGCTGTGGCGCCACTGCAGCAACACTTTGCCAGACATTATTTTATCGCGCAGTAGGAATTCTGAAATGACAGCGAGGAATGTGTGTTGATTTAGCGAAAGGTAGATTTAGATGAAGTATATATTATATAATGGATATGGGAGTCCGCCGTTGAAGCTTGAATAAAAATTCTCCCTTTCTAGTTTACACTTACTCATATCATTGTGTATCTGCTTGAATGAGGAAAAATTGAAATTTCCGCGCTCCATATCGACGAACATTTCGGGATCCTCAGTAGGCATCAACAGCTCCAACAACTCCGTTTCCGATAAGCCAAACTCGGAGCATGTGATATAGCCGGCCAAGCGAGCCACACATCTTCTGCCATAACACGCCTCCAAACGGTCAAATTCGTGCGCCACGAAATCTGTAAATGAAATATCGAGCAAGCCAGCGGCAAGCGCTAGGGGTTTATGCAATTCAGTGCGATTCTCYTCCGTTGATAAATCGAAAAGAAACTCCGCAGACTTGAAGCGATCACGTTGTATGGGTGTGAAGCGCAATTGTTCGATGGGCGTGGTTGTCGAGCAAATCAGTTGCACATTCCATGGCAAAGATGTCGGCAACCAAGATAGTGCCGCGACCACATCACAATCGAGTGGATTCAATAAATGCAAGTCATCGATGAATATGAAAAATATATCATTATTCATATCCTCGATGCGGCGCAACAGATTCTGGAACCAACTGTTGATATACACCGGATCGAATGAGGCGTCCTTGGGCAGATAACCCTCGGGTATATCGTAAATAATGGAGATTTGTTGGCAAATCACACGCAATAATTCGAGATTGTAGCCGGAACGTGGGGAGGCGGCGGCGAAGCGCATAACGCGATAAACGCGCGTCGAGTTGAACCAATCACGGCACTGCTGATACAAGTTGACCATGAGCGCGCTCTTGCCGCTGCCATGTGGGCCGTAGATGAAGTAGGGCGCATGGCGGCTGCCATTGCGGAAATTGGCCAGCAGATTCTGACGCAGGCGGCCGGGCACGCGACTCGAGGCAAGTGCGGCGGCATCGTGATGTTCGCGGAGAATGCGCAAGTGTGTGGCATGTTCGTGGAAAATTTCCTAAAAGGACAGAGAGAGAGGGAGCGCGTGAAATATTGATTAGTTATTTTTTGATTGAAAATTTTTAAGCGCTTATGGCTATAAGCACTAAAGTTTTTTARCACAACTTTCATTCACACCTTTTGCATTTCAAATGCTGCTTGGAAATCACTACTTGCTTCCCTCATACACACAAAATTAGAAGCATTTTCCTCAGTACGTTTTCCTCAACACCTTACCTGGCGTTCTTTATGGTTAATGAATAACGAATATGAAAAGAAAATGAATTTTGCTCATCTGAATACCCTCGAGGCTATTGGCACACTTTGCTTTCGCTTACTTCCGCAAATTGCACAATCAGGCAACGAGTTGGAAACGAGCTGCCCACACGACTCAAAGCTACATATAACCACCCACCACCCACTACCCAGCTCCTCACTTCGAGAGACTGTTCAGCAAGGAAATGGCTCATGAATGCAAGGAAATAAGGAAATTGAAAATATTGAAAGTATGGCATTTCGTGGCCAGGTAAAGTTGGGCAACCTGACGTCGTCGTGCCCGTGCCAAGGCGTGTGTGCTGCGCACGAGACAAGGTTAAATGCCTTTAAAAAGCTACTTCTTTAAGTAATACATGTAAATTTAAGATGAGTTTGATTAAAGGTGTCATGYTAACTCGAAGAAGATGCTGAAAACTGACTAAATTAAATTGACATTGCAAAGTCGATTTTATACTTTTTGAAATACTTTTTTAAGACTTTTTAAGAGTGTAATATGTAAATAGTAAAAGAATCGAGTAAAATAGTTGGTGGGTTTGTTCGATTCGCTTTTCTCTAATACTGGACAAATCCAGAGCATCTAACATTTCACAAATACAGTGGATTCACAGCAGTATTCATGATTTGATAGCTGTAGATAGTAATTGTCGTCAACGAGTGTTTAATATTTTAGTATATTTTTTATTTTCAGTAATTGTGCTCCATGGTAAATAAATTTCAATATTTTTGCATTATTGCCGCTATATTTTCGGGGTAAATTAAACGACAATTAGCTTACATAAATGTTATTTCATACATTGTAGTGATATGTATGAACAAAGTGTAATATTTAACTTCACAAATAATATAACGAAAATAAAACGACGCCCCAATGCAAAGTGAGAATTGACTAAAATATTAGCAAATGTTCGCCATGGACTCCGCAGCAATGTTCTCGTTGCTTTTTTTTTTTGTCTTTTGTTTCGACAGCTTGTAAAATTAATCGACGATGGCGAGAATATTGCAAAAATAGTAAGAGCGGTATTAATTTTAGCTTGACTCACTTACTTTCCAAGCCAATAAGAATAGCTACTTAAGTTACATATACCATTTGAACATAAAAAGGTGGTGCAATTCTGGTTGGAATACATAGCCTATGTTCATATATGAGATTTGTGTTTTATATTTCGTGTTTAAGGAACAAAAAAAAAAATTAAAATCAACGAAAACTTCTTTAACGTCTTCCAAAATATTCTCCATKACGAACTAAATCTATACGTTTGCACGTATTTGAACCAATTTTGTAAGCCCATTTGGCCCCTGATTTAGATATCTACAAAATATGCCTTTTGAACCCATCAAAATTCACTACAGGTGTCGAAAAATATTGATCTTTTAGTTTATTTTTAACGTGGGGAAATAAAACGAAGTAATTTCTTGCCTACTCCGGAATTTACTGTGGAAGTCTCCTCCAACAATTTTTTAGAGTGTTCAAAAATGCAGCTGTTTCAGTCGATCTATGAGCATGTGTATTGTCGTGGTGAAATGTGATCCGTCTTCGGCGGTTTATTTTCCTGATTTTCTGACAGAAAATTGTTCTAGTGACACATTTTTCCGAAAAAGCAGGACAGTGTTTCGTGCGTGAACAACCGGTTTTTAATTCCATTTTTTGGCAGAGAAGAATATTTTAAGTTACTGTTACAACTTAACAAYATAAATARCGCTTGTATGCCAAAAATAGGGCGGTCATATGCCAAAAATATTATGTAAATTACGTATAAAAATATTGTTACAGAATCAACTTTTAAATATGGAATAATTAAAAATATTTCTTTTTTGGTAACCATGTACGTATTTCTAATACTCAATCTATCTTGTGAGAAGTTAATAATTTTTAAATTTTCAATAGCACGGAACACTCCTAGCTTAGAAYTGTTACATAATCGAAAGCTCTCTTCACTCATATCCAAACCTTACTGTRTGCTGAGTCCCATGATGGACGATGGTGTTGCGAAAAGTACCTGAAYTTTCATAATAAAGTTGAACGATTTGTAAACGATGTTCAGACGTAAGTCTTTCCGTGAGAAAATGCTTAACAATACTGAACTCACACGTGAWTTGTCAAAAAAAGGCTTTTGAAAAAAATACCTCTACTTGAATTTCCCTTTAGTAGGTCTACTAGACATATTAATATGTAAAAAAAAACTTTGTGAATGTATTCGCCTTGCTTTCTTACTAGAATTTGCTTTACGCTACTTCAATTTAAATTTTTAGCCGCAAAAATTTGAAAAATATGACTATTTGCACAATGCATATATAAATTCCGATCARATTAATATTCGTATTAGATTAAACTTTTGAATACATTTGTGCTCATAATTCATGATACCATCAATGGTTCTGTAAGATTCGCTTTCGTTTATGCCTAAACGAATAATTTATTTATAATTTCAGTTTAAATCTGAAACAATAGGATTCCTAGCAGTAAACAAATATCGATCTTAATTAAACATCTCTTATGAGTTCTTACTTTATAATTTTCTAGTTAGYACTATTTTTTGAGGTACAGCAGTAATCTATCATAATGAAACGATCTCATTTATCTTGTTAGATTTCATGCATCACTTTTAGATTCTAGTGGGACAGCTCTCTCTGATTCTTAAAATAATTATGTATCTAAATTAACCGTGAATTTATCTAAATGATTGCGACTACTAAATTTTCTTATTTACTCTTAGCATCCTGAAGTTTGTCAGCATTTTTTGGATAACTATTTCATTATATGGTGCTTTATTGTTATCTAGGAAAATTTCGACTATCCGCACTAAATATTTCCAAGCCACACATTCCGGAATAGTTATAACAATGATGAAATCAAATCTCAAAAACCGAAGCGTAAACAAAATGTTGATGCATAAGGTCGCARTCTGAACACTTGAAAGCAACAAAATTTGCTAAGACCTCCAACAAAAAAAATTTACTTTTTTAGATCTTTGTTATTAATGACATTATGACTTTTATACAATTTGCATTGTCGATGGCTAATTTTGCAAGTATATTATATTGAATAGTAACCCTGGGCTTACATTTTTGAAAGGCATATTTTGATGTACAAATTTTTGCAAGAAATCTTACAGTGGAAAATACAGAAATAGAAAAGAAAGGCATTCATTGACATTTATTTGTTTAAGAGATTTAAAATTGGTTTAAAAATTTAGTAGAYTTGAAAGTTTTTAAGAAGTTAATTGTAGAAATACCGATTGCTGTGCGTTAAATGCATTTGTATTGCAAAACACAAAAAAAATAAAAAACAAAAATATATTTACTAACGCTCAACTCAGAAAGCAGCGCTCAGTCACAATTAAACGCATTACTTTATACATATTTTGGGATCAATAGTCAAAACCAAAGCAAATTGTCGCAATCAAAAAAATATTATATGCAAAATACATTTTCACAAAAAAAAAAACAAAAAATCAAGGAACAACTATTTAAAAATTAAAAAAAAACCTGCTACTACAGTGCCTAATAGACATGCATAATATGAATCTTGGTATTCATCGATTATCCAGTGAGAATGTCATGACATTTCATTGATTGGAAGAGAAGTTATTGGGTTTTAAGTGTCAGTATGTTTGTGTTATCGGTGCGAAATTGAGCTTCGAACAAAGAGGCAATATTAAATTTTGTTTTAAAATTGGTAAAACTTCTAGCGAAACGCTGCAATTGATGAAACAAGTTTGTGGCGATGATTGCCTATCTCGTAGCAGAGTGCACGAGTGCTTTCAAYGTTTTCAAAGTGGTCGTGAGGACATTTATGACAATCAACATGAGGGCCAAGCAAAATCCTTGAGCACTGAAAATTCCATCGAAACTGCGCGTGAATTCATCAAAAATCAGACGAAATCATCAATGAAATTCATGGAAATTGTATTGAACGTCTCCAAAACATCAATTTATCGCATTTCGACTGAACATTTGGGCTTAAGTAAGGTGTGTGCACGGTTTGTTCCACACAAATTGACTGACGATCAACAATTTCTTAGAATCCAACATTCGAAGGACGATTTTTTTACCAACTCTCCATATTAACCTGATATGGCACCGTGCGACTTCTCCTTTTCGGAAAAATGCATCTGCCGATGAAAAGAAATGCATTCAAAGAGCTTGCACCAGCATACTGGCGGCCATACCGGCCAACGAGCTAAAACACGCGTTCGACATGCTTTTGGATCGTGCAAAAAGCTTTGTTGAATCAAAAGACGACTTTTTTGAATAAAATAAATTTATTTTGCCGAAAGAACTATTTGTTCTGTTTTTTTTTAAAGTCCTGTTTACTTTGGAAAGTGTTATGAGTTATACGGCGGAGTATTTATAGAGTGAAAGTCGAATGAGGTCATAAGACTCGAATAAAATGAGGTCTGAAACCTGTGTACCTGAAATAGTGGATTTTCCCATGCAGGAGACCAAAGGGGCCCTAATCAAGTGGCGGTGTCCAAAAGTTATCGCCATGAAGGAAATAGTAGAATAATTGGTGTTCACGACATCTACCACAACAACAAACAATCATTCGTAAAATGAGATGAGATACCTCAAATCGCCACTAAAATTTCGTTTATCTACAATTTAATTGACGTTTTGCTTATAACATGCAGACACTTAAAGAAAACTTTGCCGGCGAAATGCTGTGAAAGCTATACGTCCATGAGCTTTTGAGAATTTGCAAGCGCATAAAAAGGCCATTAGGGGGGGAATACTTAAAAAAGT